CCTCATCTCTGCAATAAATCAAAAAATTAGCCGGGTGTGGTAGTGCACACCTGTAGTTCCAGTTACTTGGAAGGCTGAGGTGGAAGGATCGCCTCCAGCAGGTGGAGGCTGCGGTGGACGGGTGCGGCCACTGCACTCCAGTCTGGGTGACAGAGTGAGACTCCAACTCAAAAAAAGAAAAAAGAAAAAAGAGGACAAGACTCTAGAATAAGCCTTTTTAAGCTGCTTTGATGAATTATGGCTTTCAGACTTTTTGACCATAACCATCAATACGAAATACAGTAAGCATACATAAATGCACACAAATGACCCAGTAAACACATCAAACACCCCACCGGGAACACGTATGTATTTAATGAAATATCCTATCAAAGCACACCAATATTTTTTTAATCTAGTTCTTAAAAAAAATAAATAAGTAAAAGTTATTGCAACCTGTTAATTTGAATAACTAATGCTGATGCTTCTCCACTTATGACGGGGCTATGTCCCTAAAAACCCATCATAAGTTTAAATATCTTAAATCAAAAATGTATTCCATATACATAACCTCCTGAACATCACAGTTTAGCCTAGCCTACCTTAAATGTGATCAGAATACTCACACTAGCCTATAATTGGGCAAACTCACCTAATAAAAGCCTATTTGATAATAAAGTATCGAGTAACTCATGTGATCTAAGCAAATCTGCTCAGGAATATATTTACTTGTCTCTGTTCAAAAATAGTGAATCCTGGTAGGTTAGAAGAGAAATTGACCTAGGGTTACCACATGAACTTGACTTGAGAAATTTCTCAAGCTTATGGTATTATACTAATGATAACCCTTCTAGGTATGTACATACAATTTTACTTACTTGGTTTTAGTGGTTCTTATTAGAAAGAAGCTGACAAAACCTGGAACACAAGCCGGGCTTGGTGGCTCAGCCTGTAATCCCGCACCTTTGGGAGACTGAGGTGAGTGGATTGGCTGAGCCCGCGGGTTCGAGACCTGCCTGGGCAGCGAGACTTCATCTCTACAATAAATCAAAAAATCAGCCGGGCGTGGTAGCGCATGCCTGTAATTCCAGCTACTTGGAAGGCTGAGGCAGAAGGATCGCCGGAGCCCAGCAGGTCGAGAACGCAGTGGTCGGGAGCGGCCACTGCACTCCAGTCTGGGTGACAGAGTGAGACTCCAACTCAAAAAAAACCAAAAAAACAAAAAACTGGAACACAGAAACAGAACTTGGCTTGCTCTAAAGTTATGTAAGTGACAACAACTGAGATAAATTTCAATAGAGGAGACACAAATAATACAGATTAGTTTCAAAATACCTTATCTCATGCCTGTTTGGTATGTCGTGCTTTTCAGCTTGCAGTTTCTGGGCCAACACTGCATGAAGATCTGATTTTTCCAGCAACTTGTTATCTATTTTTAAAAAAAGGTCAGAAATTAAGGTATTTATTATAAAATATGTACACTTCATATTATAAAGTTTGGGATCAAAACAGTAACCAGAAAATTACCTGGGTAGTTTTCACCTTTGTTAGGTTTCAAAGTACTAAATAACGTACTTTGTTGCCTAATGTAGCAATCAAATACAGTCCAGGAATATATGTTCCTTAGCTATTTCTTGGCCTAAACTTAGACAACCCAGCCACAGTAACTCATAGAAATACACCACAAAAATGTCCTCCTTATTAAAGTAAGGTGAAACTGCTTTCTTCTCCCAAAGTTATTTGTTTCCACCTTGGGAGTAAAAAAGAAAGAAAAGTACAATGACCACTTACGATGATACCTAATCCTGAATTGTACTCCACACCTTTAAAGAAAAAAAAGGAAGGAAAAAGAAACACACCAAACACAATGGCAAAGTAAAATGCTATCCTTCCGTCTTTAAGTAATAAGGAGAACTGTACCATAATTTGGAAAATTTAATTTCTTTTTGATCAGGACAACAGGAAAATACAAGAGTCCCCAACATGAAGGAGTTAAAAATTTCATTCAGTCAACTATAAAAAGGTACAGAGAATAGTGACCCTGTACTCATTTTTATGAACAGTTTCACAGGTGGTGACATCTGAGTTACGTCTTAAAGAATGCTGATGGTCCAGGCACAGAAGGAATAGCACAGAGTTGTTCAGTAGGTGGCTTTTATCTTGGTAAGAAGTTAAAGATCATTTTGAGGTTCCTTGCTCAGGCAACTGGGTGGGAAATGGTAATGTGTGAGAACACAAGAGGGAACAGCTTAGGGAGGAAAATGAGTTCTCTTTCTGAATATAATAAATCTGACAGGGGACAAAGTACAGGAATTCAAAAGAAAAGACAGAACTAGAAAGAACATGTAGTTACAAATAATAGGCATACAGGGGCCAGTAAGATCAGATGGGGGGCTCCAAGTAGAACAAAAAATTGAGATGAGAAATGCTCTGGAACAAAATTTTGATAGGTTTATGCTTTGTGACTATTCCTGTTAAAAGAGCTTATCTCAGGCTGTGCCCAGTGGTTCATCCCAGCACTTTGGGAACCCACAGGTTCAAGACCAGCCTGGGCAACTTGGCAAGGCTTCATCTCTACAATAAATAAATAAATAGCTGGGCATGATGGCGCGTGCCTGCAGCTCCAGCTACTTAGAAGGCTGAGTGGAAGGATTGCCTGAGCCCAGCAGATCGTGGGTGCCGTGGCCGGGAGCGTGCCACTGCCTTCTAGTCTAGGTGACAAAGTGAGACTTCAACTCAAAAAAAAAAAAAAAAAAGAAAGCAATGAGGGTGCTTCACAAACTAGTAATGATCTCCCCAAATGTCAATCCTCTCAGGCTAAATGAGATTTGAACAAGAAAAGGTCGCCTTACTCTCCATGTTAACTGTTAGCCTCTCATCCTGGTCTCCTCTCCTACTCCCTCAGACAAGCATTACTCACAACTCTAGTTCTCTCTTTTTTTGAGTCAGAGTCTCACTCTGTCCCCCAGGCCCAGGCTGGAGGGCAGCAGCACGCCACGGCCACCGCAGCCTCAACCTACTGGGCTCAGACAGTCCTTCCGCCTCAGTCTTCCAAATAGCTAGAACTACAGGCACACGCCACCACTCTGGCTAATTTTTTAATTTATTGTAGAGATGTGGTCTCGCCAAGTTGCCCAGCCTGGTCTGGACCCGTGGGCTCAGGCAATCCTCTCACCTCAGCCTCCTAAAGTGATGGGATTATTGACATGAGCCACCGTGCTCAGCCTCTAGTTGTCTTTAAAGATGTGTTCTCTCTATGACTAATTTCTGTTCAACATGCTTCTGCCCCATCAAGATACCATTTGTGAAGTACAGAAAACATTCCACTTGTGTCAATAAGATAACAAGCACTTACACTTATAGATTTTTACACAGATGGCTTTCAAAGCACTTATGTATACAGCACTGTTTTTATGAACAGGCGGGAAAAGCTTCATCCCCATTTTACAGGTGCGGCACACCAGACTCAGATAAGTGAAAAGGTTAGTAAGAGGTAAGTCAGACCTCCAACTCAATTTGACTTCCAAAGTGTACCATCTTCTATAGACTAGGCCCTCCACAAACACCTAATGAACTGAATTTATATAAACTGTGAAGAAATCATGTATGAGGGAGAAGGATTTCCTATGCTTCTGGCTTTCTGAAATAGCCAGGGCCTCACAGAGTATAAGAAATTAGCATAACAACAGCACAGCATCCCCCTTTCTTCCTAGTTTTGTTTTAAGATGAGTGCAGAGAAAGCAAAGAAGTATCATTTATTGGGAGATCCAGTGAGAAAAGCATGGCTCAGCCTGTAATCCCATGCCTTTGGGAGGCTGAGGTGAGTGGATTGCCTGAGCCCGCAGGTTTGAGACCCGCCTGGGCAACTTGGCAAGACCTCATCTCTACAGTAAATCAAAAATTAGCCGGGCGTGGTAGCGCACGCCTGTAGTTCCAGCTACTTGGAAGGATGAGGTGGAAGGATCGCCGGAGCCCAGCAGGTCGAGGCTGCGGTGGCCGGGAGCGGCCACTGCACTCCAGTCTGGGTGACAGAGTAAGACTCCAACTCAAAAGAAAAAAAAAAAAAGTTAAGCACCACCAAGACTGAGTTTAAATGCCAGTCCTACAGCTAATCTGCCATATAATCCCAGAGAAACTGCCTAATCTCTCTGGGATTCAGTTTCCTCATGTGTTAAAAGAACAAGGACCTGCTTCATAGAAGGTTGGGGACAATAAAAGAACACATGCCAAATGAATATTTATGCTACTTCAGAGTACTCAAGCTTGTCTGCACATGAGTATCATTTGGGGGAGAATCAAAAACCAGACACTCGTATTCTACCCCCATAAAGTGTGATTTAGTTGGTCTGGGGTGCGGCTTCGGCTTCGTAATCTTTTTATTATTTATTTATTTATTTATTGAGTTGGAGTCTGGGGTGTGGCTTCGGCCTCGTAATCATTCATTCATTCATTCATTCATTCATTCATTTATTTATTTAAGTTGGAGTCTCACTCTGTTGCCCAGACTAGAGTGCAGTGGCCGCTCCCGGCCACCGCAGCCTCGACCTGCTGGGCTCCGGCCATCCTTCCGCCTCAGCCTTCCAAGTAGCCGGAACTACAGGCGCGCGCTACCACACCCGGCTAATTTTTTGATTTATTGTAGAGATGAGGTCTCGCCAAGTTGCCCAGGCGGGTCTCGAACCTGCGGGCTCAGGCAATCCACCCACCTCAGCCTCCCAAGGAGTGGGATTACAGACTGAGCCACCGAGCCCGTCTCGTAATCTTTTTAAAGATTCCCGGAGTGATTCTAATGTGCAGCAAAGTTTGAGAAGTGATCTAGCACAGCTAGAATCCAATAAAAGCTAAATTAAACCATTATTGTTTTGAATCCCATCATTAACATAGCTTGGGAGACTTGTCAGGTTTACTTTAAGAGGCACATGGAACTTGAGGACCAGAGGGGTCATTTCTTTCCCAAAACGTGTCACCGATTATGCTAAAATTGGGGACTGGGGTGTCGGAGCAATAATTACCACAAGACATTTCTGTACTCTTAAAATGCAAGGAGTGGGGGAGAAGAAAACCACCGCTTTCATATTACAGTAAAGACTATGCCCCAACGAAAAAGAATGTTAAGACTCAAAATTTGTAATCGTCAAAGAACACGGGGTGGAGTAAGGACAACAGGTCTGAGGAATCAAAGGCTACACAGTCCATTGCACTCGGAAGGCAATGTTAACTCTGTGAGTTGGTTCTTTAAGTCAACGCCCGTTTCATTAACACGATCCCATAAATGGGACGTTTCTGGTACCTGCCTATTTAAGTGTTCAAGCATTGTGTGACCCGCTGGGATTTACAAAACACAAACCGTATCTGCCCACGAAGATCACACTATTTACTGGGGGCACCCTCCACGACCATCCTTAAAAATAAAACGAAAGGAGGAGAAATAGATTTAAGGCGTGGGGCGTCGGAGGCTCAGGGTACCCGAGGCGGCCGCCATGCACGCGGGCGGCGCCGGGGGCTCGGCCTCAGGTTCCAGCTGCCGCCCTGCAAGCCTCTGCGGGCCCAACCACCCAGATCCCAGACCGCACGGGCGCCACTCACATTGCAGGATGATCTCCTCGAACGCCTGCCTCTGCAGCCGGTCCCGGCGCCTCAGCTCCTCCGAGATATGGCGCTTCCAGCGAGGGAAGTCGGCCGTACGGAGGCCCGACGACATGTCGCTTGCTGCCCCGGCGCCTCAGCGCCGCCGATGCGAGCGGAGGCTGGCGGCTGCGGCCTGCAGCATGAGGCGACCACCGGGCACGGGAAAGCCGGCAACCCCAAAGCTCACCTCCACACACAGGCCGCCCCTCAAGCCATCCGCGACGGTCTTCCGGCTCTAGCCGGAAATAGCTTTGGTGAGAATCGGAAGGCCCGCCTCTTCATCGACGTATTACGCCACACGCACGCACTCACGCACGCACGCAAGCGGCCGGTGCCAACGCAGGGGCGCTAGCTAATGACGCCAGCCTGAAACCGGAAGCACCGGGGTGGAGAAACGGCCGCTGGGAGGCGTGCGGAACCCGCAGGTGGCCCAACTCTGGGAGGGAGACGGACGGGGCTACTTCAACTTGCCTGCTTACGTTTCCTTTCTACTTTTCAGTACTTTTCATATTATTTTTCTTGATCAGCCTCCCTTTTTTTTCATCTCAGCTTGCAGACAAATGGTAGCTATGTTACTGTGGGTGAGCCTAAGTTTCTATCTGTAAATTTGGGATAGTAATGATACATACCTACTTCAGAGGGTTGTCGCGAGGATAAAAGAAAACACCTGTGTATACAGTTAGCACCGTGTCTGGCACGTGGTAAACCTGTCTTTACCTACAAGGCCTACCTAAAGTCTGGCTGCTTTAGCAAGAGTATCCCACTGATCTTGGAAACAGATTCTTTTTTCTTTATTATTTTTTTTTTTTGAGTTGGAGTCTCACTCTGTCGCCCAGACTGGAGTGCAGTGGCCACTCAGGCCACCGCAGCCTCGCCCTGCTGGGCTCCGGCGATCCTTCCGCCTCAGCCTTCCAAGTAGCTGGAACTACAGGCGCATGCTACCATGCCCGGTTAATTTTTGATTTATTGCAGAGATGAGGTCTCGCCAAGTTGCCCAGGCGGGTCTCTAACCCGCAGGCTCAGGCAATCCACTCACCTCAGCCTCCCAAAGGCGTGGGATTACTGGCTGAGCCACCAAGACCGGCTAGATTCTTTTTTCTTACAGTGAAATAGAGAAAGGGAAATGGGAGCTAAGAAAGATGTGAATAGTGTATCAGAGTTTGCCTGTGTTAATCATTAAGATCCTGGAAATTATGGCCCAATAGTAAATGTGTCCTTAGAAGGTAAGCTAATGCCAGTAGCTATTGAAAGGGGGAGATGGAAGACGCTGGCACTGGCTTCCAAGATCACATCTGTCAACAAGCTCAGGACAACGGAAAACCTGCTTCTGTAATGGAATTGCCTGAGTTCCGTCTGCTTTTAATAGGTTAGTGAGTGTATGCCGTGAGTATGGATGTGGACAAAGTCGGGGCCCAAAGGAGAGGAAAGTCATGTCAGAAACTGCCTTCTCTTCTAATGTGTCTCAAATCCAGAGAAAATCTTTCAGAGATAGATAATAAAGTCTTCTTTCCTGAGGAGCTGAGGAGAACCGTCAAGCGTCAGGACAGTCAGGCTTCTAGAACTATAGTTACAGGTATTTCATTGGCAGTCAGGATGAAGTGGCCTGAAGTCACTGGAAGGACCCATGGGGGATCAGAAATAGAAGTGACTTCCTCACACTGAAGAAAATGAAGTAAGTTCTGAAAGTCACCAAGAATGCCTTCCAATATAATAGTGGCACCAACCTCAAAAGAGCATAATCGGCAGCCGGTGTGGCTGCCTTGAGGGTCCCTGGAGAGAGCAGCGAGAGATTAAGAAAGACATAGACACAAAGACATAAAGAAAAGCTGGGGCCAGGTGGGACACGTTCCTCTGATGGAGGAGAAGTGGCCCCGAACTAGCTCAGCGTGTTTATTTTATAATCAAGCACAAAAGAAGTTGGGAAGAATTCAAGGTGTATGAGGGAGCTATAACGGAATTTTGTTGCTACCTAAATGGCAAACTGTTCCACGGTTATCTTGTTGCTAAGGCTTTATCTGTACTATTTGCACCCGGATGTGTGGGCTCTGAGATGCCGTGTAGCAGGCTGCATCCCTTGCTCTTTGGCTAGGGTGCAGAGCAGCCAAGCGGGACCTTGCCTTTGCTCCAGGCCTGCTGTCCCGACAGCGTTCATCCACTTTCTACAACCATAGCATCTCATAACATCAAATCCTGAGAGCTAAGCATGCCAGTTTCCCAGACAAGATTATGATTTTAAAATGTCCAAATTTGCCCAACCAGCAATTCTGCTTGCAAGAATTTACGCCAAGAAATACTTGGATGCATGTCCACATACAAAAACCTTTGTCACAACATCGTTAATAGTAGTGAGAAGTTGGAAACTACAATTCCAAAAATAAGAGATTGGTTAGATTAATACATATTCATTATTGAGAATTGTTTATAGTAAACAGGAGGGGAGGGGCACATAACATCAATAAGGGTATCTGATCCCAAACCAGGTGAAGTGAGGACCAGTGGGAGGACCAGTATGATGGCCACTCATGTACCTAATCCTGAATTGTACCCCCACATCTTTAAAATAAAAAAAAGAAAATTGAGCCGGGCTTGGTGGCTCAGCCTGTAATCCCACGCCTTTGGGAGGCTGAGGTGAGTGGATTGCCTGAGCCTGCGGGTTCGAGACCTGCCTGGGCAGCGAGACCTCATCTCTACAATAAATCAAAAAATCAGCTGGGTGTGG